ATAGATGTAGCTGCGTAAGTGCCATATCTATACTTTCACCATTAGGGGACTGTTTTGGTTTTTTTTTTTTAATTCAGTGGGGTTTTGTGGGGTTTTTTGTTTGTTTTCTTTTTTTAAGAAATAAAAAGAAACTGCTTGACTGGTTTCAAGCACCCTTGTGAACCCGTGTCTGGCTGGCATATGTCTGGGTGCTGCACAGCGGCTGTGTCGGGAGGTGTGCTGCTCCTGCCCGGGGCAATGGCAGCTCTGCCAGGAGAGCTGGTTGGGCTCTGGCATGTGCCATTTGTTGCTGCAGTGGTGGTACCAGCAAGGAGCCCTGAGCCGTTGAACTGCACTCCCTCAAGCTGTGGAGGAGCCATCCCCAGGTGATGAAGCTTTTTTCTGTCCTTGGGTGCTTCTGTCTGCCAGGAGATGAACAGGCTGGTGCTGTGTTTCCTGGGTTTGTCAGGGCTTGGACTTTTGACTTAGAGCTCCTGGCCATGAATAACCCAGCTCCTCCATTGCTGCTGTGCCCAGGTCACTTCATGCTGGAGGCACTGCAGGAGCAGGGTTCAGGGATGCGTATGTGCGTGGTGTCTGTGCTCTGCTCTGGCTGGGGGCTGTTATTCCTGTGGAGCTGAGGCTGGGGGGGGCTGCTGCCATGTCGATACTCCCCATGTGGAGTTTAAGTCTGGTCCTCACTTTGTGCTGTGTGCACTGCAATGCTCATGGGAAGGAGAAACGTCATCGCTAGGTTAAATGGTGCTCAGCAACCTTTACTTTTTCTTCCCATCCATAGGACCCAGTAGCCAGAGGAGCATTACACAGCTGACCCTCCCAGCCTTGCGTTGGCAGGACATATTGTCCATCCATCCAATCCAGGCAGCCTTAGCTGTGCTCAAGCCATGCACAGCAGTGCCTGGGATTAGTGAGGGTCACAGGAACCCCAACAGCTCCTTGAGTCTCGCTTTTGTGCCCAAGCCCGGATGGGTGTCCCAGCAAATTGGGCAGTGCAAGTATAGCAGTTGTATTACTTTGAGCTCAAACCAGCACCGAGTTGAGCTTGGTGATTTTTTTTTTTTCTGGCCTGACTCTCTACCTGCTTGGGACATGCAAGCCTTGTCTATGCTCATTCCTGGCTTTCAGGTGACCATAACCTACCTAGTCCACACAGATCCTGCACAGGGCTGCAAGGACTATCTGCAGGGCTGCACAGGAAGCAGGTACCAGCCCAGTGCCCACTGCGTGGCATGTAGCATCAGGGCTCGTCCCCTGACAGCTGGTGCTTGCTCACCTGCCTGCAGCACGTGCTGGGTGCCAGGAGCAAGCACCTGCCTGCCCACGCTGCAGGCTGCGCTTGTACAGCAGCAGCCCAGCACACAGCACCCACCCTGAGGCTGTTGGGGAGACATTGGGGTCCTGTGACATAACCTGGAGTACTGCACCAGCATGGCTATGTGGAGCCCATCCCACCTCAAGCAGCTCCTGGTGCTGAGTGGTGCCGGCTGCTGCCCAAATCTCCAGCGCTTGCGTGGCCGTGCCGCAAGCGGAGCTGGCAGAGCGCTAATGAGAGTTGGGCTTTGGCCATGGGAGGCTCAGTTTGGGTTGGTATGTGCGTCATGGCACCCAGGCTGGCAGAGGGGAGGAGGGTGGCAGGGGGCTGTGGGCGCAGGTGATGGGAGCGGGCAGTGGTCCTCCACGCTGTCTCTGGGGCTCGGGCTGGCAGTGGCTGCAGCGGGTGCATCACACAAAAGCCAAGTGTAGTGCAAAGTCGCTCCGGGGCCTGAGAACGGCAGTGTTCATCTTGTTGGCAGCTCACAAGTATCAGCTCTCTGGATAAAGTGGGGCAGCAGAGTTTATAAAAAAGGCATTTTGGTGTAAATAGCTATTGCT